AATTGGGAACTCGTAAAACTCAATTATTCATAAAGTTGTGAAAATTAAAGTAGCTAGGGTTTTTCCAGCTCTTCTCATCTCATATTCGACAGAAACACATGTTTATTCCACCTTCATTAACTTTGCAATATCCACCATATAAACGGTTTTCATGACCCAGGCGTACCATTGGTTGCAGTCAGGCTTAAAAATTTCGCACGACCCCACGGCAAGTTCTACCCATCCAGCAGGTGCTTTTGCAGGGACGTCTGCAACTTGGAAACCACTAATAAATCTCAACCTTCTTCACATATAACGATCGTAAATGTGAATGTGTACGACACAGCGTTTGTTAGATGACCTTATAGTACATACCTGAGCTCACACGAAGTGAGGCGATGCAAATAAACACCATGAAAAGGCCTCTTGTTAGAACATCAAAGTTGGTGGAATTCATACTGTCGAAGATGTAAAGTTTTAGTAGTTGTTGTTTTTCTCTCTTTTGCTGTATCGCGATGGATGATCGAATCATGTGGTGAGAGCATTTGTATTTATTTTACAATTTGCATTGAATTCATATCTTTGCAACTCTTTTTAGAAATGCAATCTTTGGATGAGCGATAAACGGAAAATTTATGGATGTGCATGATCCTCTCTTAAACATTGCTGATTTGTTGCCAAAAAGTGCTTTCTTTTTTAGTTTGCGCAAGTGGTGGATAGGATTGGTGAATAGGCCTGCTTCTTCAACCCCAGTTCAAACTCTTCCTCCTTCTCGGTGAATAAGGACCTAGTCTTGTTTATTTATTTATTTATTTTTAACAAATGATATTATTTACAATAAGGGGTAGGGGACTGGACTAAGCCTCACAATGGGCTAGCAATAATGTGGTTCAAATTCGCCTTTGCGAGAATTGAACATAAGACCTCTCACTTACAAATGAAGAGGAATACAACTAAATCGTTGTACTAAGTGACAATCTTGTTTAGAGTTTAATAGTTTATTCGGTAATGAAAGAAACACTATCCATCTTTGCTTACCGGTCCCTAAACCCTAAACCCTAAACCCTAAACCCTAAACTATTAGGGTGTGTTTGGGCTCACTAAGTGGGACTGGACTACATACTAATGTAGTCCCACGTTTGGTCATGCTGGGACTTGCTAGGACTAACTTAAATGAGACTAAAGGAGCTTCCTTGGACTAGAGACCTCGCTAGACGTTCTTAACGAGACCCTCCCCATACATGGGATTCGCTAAGGCCATCTCTGGTTTTCTGCTTCACTTCCGCTTCGCCCTTCCATTAGGCCCTCGCATCTGCTTCTTCTTCCCCACTTCCACATCCATTTTCAAAATTGGCTTCTTCCTTTTCCCTGCTTCGCCCCTCTACGAGTTCTGGGCTTCGTTATTTTTGAATGTCAGATGGGATTCGCATCGGATCTGCATATCGTTGGGAGGAAACAGGCATTGTAGCGACTATTTGCTTCGATCGTCGTCGTGATCACCATGGATGCCAAGCTCTTGCAAGCTTCAATTCCCAACGCTTCAACCCACAACGCATCAAGGCCTCCAATACCCACTCCCAATTTGGTCTCCCCCACCATTTTTAACATGCCTGAACAATTTTTTTCCAATCAAATTTGTCAAGAAAACTTCTCTATCCTTTCCAAATTTCTTCTTCTTCTGCAACCTCTCCCATCACTTTTTGTTTTTTGTTTTTTTTTTTTTTTATGGGATGTAGCACTGTCTGTGCATTTTTTTTATTTTTTTGGTGCAATTCAACTCTTTGATGGGAAAGATAGAAAATTCAAGATTTTGATTCTTTGGTATAAAATCTAATTTTTGGCTTTGTTTTTATTTATAGTGTATTCTAGTTTTGTAGGCAAGAAAGTGGAAGTTTTTATAAGGGAATTGTTATTAGCACTCCAAAAATCTCATTCTACACTCCAAACTTTCTATATTGGGAAAGAAAAATACATATGTGAGGATTGTAGAATGAGATTTTTGAAGTGCCAAAAACACTTCCCTTTTATAATTAAAAATAAAAAATAAAAATTTAGTCCTAGCTAGTCCAGCATTACATTAAATGTTTCACAATACTAGTACTATTTAGTCCATGCCAAGCCAGTCCAGCTTAGTCTATGATGCTAATCCAATTCGAGATAGTCCGTTGCAACAAATACACTCTTAATTTCTTTTAGTGATGGGATACACTAGAGAAACTGAAAAATGTAGGCTATTTTCTAGAATTTGTACTACAACCTTATTCCCACAATATTTTTTTGGTATAATAAGTACAAGAAAATCTTGCCTACACCCTCTGAGCTCAGGTACTAAGTATACTAAAGTCTTGCATACAAAAGAGCGCCATGAAAAGGCCTCTTGCAAGAACAACAAAGTTGATGGAAGCCATATTCTCAAGTATATTGATTAGCATTTGCAACAATTTTGCTAGTTTAGTGGGTGAACAGTGTCAGAAAACTACATTAGCTAGTTTGTTTAATTTTTCAGCTCCAATTACACTCTATTTTAACAAACTTTGGATATTGGGTGAAAACCCAACACCCTATCCGCTAAGATATTTGACTAAATACTTTTAACATTTAACAAATGAACAGTGATTCTATAAATTTAAAGAGCAACCATTCACTTTACTATTGTATGGTATCCCTCATAGAGTTCTTGGAGATGAATTTTTAAGATTTAACTCGTTAACATAGAATTTTTGTAGTTTTACAGATTTTCTTGGACATGCTGGTCATAGTTGTTCCTTTTCTCCCTTGATGTATGTGATGGACGATTGGTGTGTGGTAGGAGCATGCCTATTTGTATTACATTGAAATTCTATAGTGCAAGACTACTTTTAGAAATGGTATAATCTTTATACCAAATCAAGCTTTAACCCTGGCAAGATTATAGTTGGAAAGTTATTAGAGCAGATACATGCATGAATGATCCTCAAAAAAGCAAATCTATCTGCCGCGCCATATGGTATTAAAACTACTATTACAACAAATCCTTATATGAGTAAGAATATGGAAATAAACATGATATATCTCGATAAGGAAATCCACATTTTCGTACTATTATATTGGTGTACTATACCAAAGATGGGGATTATCTCTCTTCTATTTTCTCCTCCTCTTCATCCCCTCCTATTTGAATGTTTAAGATTAAATCATACTGTCATCTTGTTTTATCTTTTCTGTAGAGAGTAAAAGAAAAGAGAAAAGGAATGAGAGAATTCAACTTCTTGTTTGATATATAACAATCACATCACACAGTTCACTAATACAATCTAAACAAGCGGTCTATCTATTATTACTTACAAATAATATTGGTCGAGGGGTAGATCGAATAATATAAAGAATATTCACTGACAATGTTGACCAAACATTGACCATCCGTGTAAAATTTGGACGTCAAACACCCAATAGCAACATACTTTCACTCAAATGGTTACAGCCTTCAACTACACTGCAAATGTCTTAGTGTTTGTGTTAAAGTATGAATTTAAAGCTTCATTTTCTCTCAATTGAGTAAAAAAAATGTACTTACAACGAGCCGCGACTCGTCAGTCGAGTGGTGATTGTAAGTTGTCACCACTTGGTTGGAGAGATTCAACTCATATAAATGCAAGCATGATAAATATATTTATAAAAATGAGTATGATAAAGCGATAAAACCAACAATATTAGTGGCGTAATTTGGTCATAAAATATATTGGGTAAAGTACAAAAACCTACCTCAACTATGAGTCGAACAACACTATCATACCTCATTTTTTAAAATGACAATGTCATACCTTATCTTACGAATTTATGACAATATCATACCTTTCATCAGTTTGTCTGTCAATTACTCCGTTAAATAGTGACGTGGCTTAAAAAAATTAATTAAGTATTAAAAAAATAATTAAATATTAAAAACTAAATTATAAAATCATTTAAACAATTTTTTTGGGTAAAGTACAAAAAACTACCTCAACTATTGGGGTCACGACAGTTTCATACCTCATCTTTTAAAATTGACAATGTCATACTGCATCTTACGAATTTGTGACAATGTCATACCTCCGTCAATTTTTCTGTTAAGTGCTGACGTGGCAAGAGACTGGGACCACTTTCTATTAAATAATTATAAAATATTATTAAAAACAAAAAAAAATATTTAATATTTTTAAATATTAAAATAATAAATAAAAGTAAAATTAAAAAAAAATTGAAATCCCAACCCCACCCGCCCCCTAGGAGAAGGAGGAAGAACCGAAGAAGAAGAAGAAGGAAGAGGAAGAAGAGGAGGAGGAAAAAAAAAAATTGAAAACCTAACCCCCCCAGGAGAAGGAGGAAGAACCGAAGAAGAAGAAGGAGGAAGAAGAGGATGAGGAAAAAAAAAAATGGAAACTGCAACCCAGAAAAAAAAAAAAGAAAAAAAAACCCAGAAGAAGGAAGAAGAAGAAGGAGGAGGAGGAGAAGAAGAATGAGCAAGAGGAGGAGGAGGAGGAGGAGAAGAAGAAGAAGAAGAATGAGCAAGAGGAGGAGGAGGAGGAGGAGGAGGAGGAGAAGAAGGAGGAGGAGAAGAAGAAGAAGAAGAAGAAGAAGGAGAGGGGAAAGGGTCCCCTTACCCCTAGGAAATTTTTTTGTTTTGTTTTTTTATTCTTAATTTTTTAATATTTAATTATTAAAAATATATTTAATTATTTTTTAATCCAGTTGGATTAGTGAGTGGTCCCTGTCTCTTGCCACGTCAGCACTTAATAGAAAAACTAACAGAAAAATTGACGGAGGTATGATATTGTCACAAATTCATAAGATGCGGTATGACATTGTCAATTTTAAAAGATAAGGTATGAAACTGTCGTGACCCTAATAGTTGAGGTAGTTTTTTGTACTTTACCCTTTTTTTTTACATGAGGACCCACCCCTTATCCCTTTCACCTTTCTTCCCTCCTCCGTCTTCCCCTACCCCAAACCCAGATCCCACCCGTTTCCATCTTCCCCTAACCCACCCCCCAAACTCATCACCATCAACCTTCTTCCCTACCTGTCTCCTCTGAACTCATCACCTTCACCCTTCTTCCCCATTTCAGTCCCCAATTTTTAATTTTCTCAAAAAATTCAAATCCCAATTGGAATTTCGCAAATTGGGTGTGCTCTGTTGTTACCCCTTTGACACCTCTGCCTCGTGCATCCATCCTTTTCTTTCTCCCCTGTTCAAATCCAAATTGGAATTTTGCAAACTGCGTGTGCGCCGTGACGGCGTGCTCCTGCGTCCATGGATCGCTGCACAGCAGTAGAGGAATTACAGCGAGAAAGACGTCGGACTCGCCAATCAAGGCATGATTATCAACCCTCGCTAAAAGCCTGAGCTTGGCCGCTGCAGATTACTTCAAGGCAAACGACAGCGATTGGAAGCCGTCGACCCAGATCTTGATCGTCGGCTGAAGATCCTCTGGCGAAATGCTCTCGATGATCTTGGTCGAGATGTTCTCCATCTGCAAAAACCCCTGGCATGGCTCCAGTTTTAGCACAGCCTCGGATAATTCAGAGGTCGGTGCGTTTTCCAGGGGCGGCAAGCTTGCGAGCCATTTTAATTCTCTTGATATGTCGTTGCTGCAGGCAGAGAAATCATTGAAGGTTTGGGATAACTAGAGGTACTCCTTGTCGGAAGACTCAAATTTGCTGGCACAGCTATGGGTGCGAAGGGCGAGCTCGCTGAGGCTCATGTCAACGATCGAATCGGTTAGCTTCTCGGAGACAAAAGGCTCTCTGCGTGGGTGCAGAAAATGAGGTTCGCGAAGTCTAGGACTTGGAGCTTGCGGATGATGGCGGAGCCGACAAGGCTGCTGTTGCAGCGTGAAAGGGAGAAAGGGAGAGAGAATACGGGAGGAAAGGGAAAGAGAGGGGAGGGATGGTGGTTCTGGGCATGGCGAGGGAGAGCGAAGTGGGGAAATTAGGGTGGGGACTGAAATGGGGAAGGAAGGTAATGGTGATGAGTTTGGGGGAGACAGGTGGGGAAGAAGGTTGAGGGTGATGAGTTTAGGGGGTAGGTTAGGGGAAGACGGAATGAGAGAAGAAATGTGAGGGGGATAAAGGGTGGGTCCCCACTTTAAAAAAAAAATTGTTAAATGATTTTATAATTTTAGTTTTTAATATTTAATTAATTTTTTTTAATTTTTTAATATTTTATTAATTTTTTTAAGTCACATCACTATTTAACGGAATAATTAACAGACAAACTGACAGAAGGTATGACATTGTCACAAATTCATAAGATGAGGTATGACATTGTCATTTTAAAAAGATGAGGTATGATAGTGTCGTTCGACCTATAGTTGCGGTAGTTTTTTGTACTTTACCCAAATATCTTTGTAAACATCTTATCACTTGTTGCAATCATCAAAATGAAAAGTTGAGATTATAGTCTTTTTATTTTATTTTATTTTATTTTATTTTTTCCCCTTTAGCAACATCAAGAACATCAATACAATTTAGAAACGAAAATAAACCTACTAGTACCAGTTATACTTAACCATTGTATTTTCATTTTCTAATCACATTAGGAGAGAGACAAAAAAAAAAAAAGTATGCACATGTGCACTCGAACATAGTCATCCAATACAAGCTGAGACTTAAGATGAAAATGCAATTCGGTCTTCTTAATTTAGTATATTAATATAATTTTTCTATCAAACTAGTGAAATCAGAAAATATTTAGATCCAGTATACTAACCATCTCTACAATATAATGATTTGAGACGCATTAGATTATATTTTGGAGAGATTTTTTTCCTTCTCTTTCTTCGAGAATATATACGATATATAATAATTTTTTGGGTAAATTACAAAAAATTACCTCAACTATTGGTCTCATGACACTATCATACCTCACCTTTTAAAATTGACAATGTCATACCTCATCTTTAGAATTTGGTCCAATTTTATACCTTCCGTTAGATTGGCCGTCAATTTCTCAGTTAAATGCTGACGTGGCTTAATTCGGGGCCCATTTTCTATTAAAAAATCAATAAAATATTAAAAATAATAATTTACCCTTAAAAAAAAAAAAAAAAAAAACCGAACACCTATCTTCCCATCCCTTCTCCTTCCCCTTCCCTGCAACCCATATCCATTCCCTTTCCCCTTCCCTGCAACCCCCGACCCCTTCCCCACCCACGCCAACATCTCCCCCCCCAGACCCACCTCTCCCTGCCCTTTGGAATCCCACAACTAAAATTGTTCCCAGATAAATCAACATATGTGATATCAGTGAGACTGTTGAATTTCAATGGAATCTCACCTGAAAACATGTTATCTTCGAGTCAAAGACGAACCAGAGACGAACAGTTTGACAGAGAAGTGGAGAGGCCGCCGTTGAAGTTGTTCGAAAACATCATTAGCTTAAAGAGCTGGCCATTTCCACAAATATCCGGTGGAACGCTGCTGTTGAGGTTGTTTGTGGAGACATCCACCCACCCGAGCATTGAGTTTCTCCCCGGAGCTCCCCAAGCTCCGGGGAAGGTTGCCGAAGAAGAAATTGTTCCACAAAAGCAGCATCTCCAGCGATGGAAGCTCTGCAATTCTGTCGGGAACTTCGCCGGCCATCTCATTGTAAAAAAGGCTAAGGAGTTTAAGGTTTTTCAGCTCCGAAAAGGTTTCTGAGGTCAACCCAGAAATCAGATTGTCGTAAAGATCCAAGCTTTGAAGAGCTCTAATGTTGCTGAGCTCCGTCGGAATCGACCCAAAAAACTGGTTTCTGAAAAGGAAGAGGGATTTGAGATTGTTGAGATCCCCAAGGGATTTTGGGATGCCGTCGAAGAGATTTGCATAGGCAATGTTGAGATACTGGAGTTCCGTCATGTTCCCCAATTGCCATGGAATGTTTCCGTGGTAATAATTGTAGCTGATTTCCATGTGCGTCACTGTTTTGAGCTTCCCCAGTTCCGGTGGAATGCTTCCAGTGATCAAATTACCAGCGAGATGAATAAACTCGAGGAGGCAGAAAGCACCGTATTCCGACGAGATCGGTCCCCGGAAGTAGCTTCCAACTAAATTGAGGATTTTGAGGTTCTGAAGCTTTGAAATTTTGGTGGGGAGCGACCCGAAAAAGCTGTTGCCATATGCATCGAGAACAATGAGGTTTTGAAGGGTAAAGACTCCGACGGGGAAGTGACCGGAGAAGTTGTTTCTGTTGATGTCTAATGTTGTGAGGTTGAAAATTTCGGCGGGGAGGTGGCCAGAGAACGAGTTGTAACTGAGGTTGAGTGAGACAAGGTCGGTGAAGATGGCAATAGGAAGACGGGTGTTTGGGTTTGTTTTTTTTTTTTTTCCTTGAGGTAAATTATTATTTTCAATATTTTATTAATTTTTTAATAAAAAGTGGGTCCCGAATCAAGTCGCGTCAGCATTTAATTGCGAAATTCATGGCCAAGCTAACGGAAGGTATAACATTGGACCAAATTCTAAAGATGAGGTATGACATTGTTAATTTTAAAAGATGAGGTATGATAGTGTCGTGAGACAAATAATTGAGGTAGTTTTTTGTCCTTTACCCTTTTTTTTTTTTTGGAGGAAAAATTGAGGAAGAGTTTAAGATATATGTATTTTAAAGCCATCTCCAACCAAAAGGTCCAAAGGGCCAGATGGCCAAAAATAGCACGAAAACAGTCTCCAATCGAGGGCCAGGCCAAAGGGCCAACTGGCCCCGGGCTGAGCCACATGCAGATGTCATATTTGATTTTTCTTTTTTCTTTTTTTTTACTATTTTTTTAATTATAAAATTTAAAAATTCTATTTTTTTCCCTATAATTTCCTAAGTCATTAAACGACATTAAATAACATTAAGTAACATTAAAGAACATTAAAAAAAAAAAATTTAACAACATGAAACTTAAACAACATTTTAAAAAACATTTAACAACATGAAAATTATTGACAATCCATAACATAAAATTATCACTATTCTAAAAATCCCCGCCTAGGCGCTAGGCGGTTGGTCACCGTCCCGATTAATGCCTAGGCATTTGAAAATTAAGAAAGAGCCCATAGAGCTACTGAGGCGCCCGCCTAGACCGCCTAGGCACCCGCCTAGACCGCCTAGGCACCCGCCTAGACCTGCCTAGGCATCGACTCCTTAGGCAGAAAATAGATAACTTTCATTTTGCATTTTATTTTTTTTCAATAAATTGTAAGAGACTTGTCAAATACTTAAATGAGGACATATTATATGCTTGTTTCCCATGTTTTCATTATGTTCCAATACTTCATAATATATGTGTCATTCTATTTTGTAGTTTATGATGAAATTATATATATTTTAAGTATAAACATACACTTATTTACATGAAATATAATGGATTTAGTCAAATCCGCCTAGTCCGCCTAGGCGCCCACCTAGCCGCCTAGGAGCGAGGCCTCAGCTCGCCGCCCGACTAGTGCCTAGCATCTTTTAGAACCTTGAAAATTATTGAGGTAATTTCATTTAAGTAACTATAGTAGTTCAGTTAAAATAATAAATTATGTTTGGCCCTTTCGCTCTTGGTTGGAGATGATATTTTTTTTTTTCACAAGGCTATGTTTAGCCTATGGTCCTTTGGCTCTTCGATTGGAGATGATAAGAAATATGACCCTACACTGTTCATTAAAATATTAATTTCTTGGAGGACCAGATGATTAAAACGAGCCATCTGGCCAGCCTTTGGTTGGAGATGACCTAAGAGTATGAAAACATAGTTCAAAGTGAGACTCAAAAACGCATCCCTTATTAACTTAGGAAAACTAATGAAAATGACTTGAAAATTTTAAGTTTTAACGATAAAGACAAAATAAAGGGTAAAATAAATAGTATTATAATTGACTTTTTAGTGTAAAAATTTAATTTTTCGTTAAAACTATGAGCTTGGCTGTAACCCGTTTTGACTCAAAACATGTATGTTATTTGCTTAGAAAGAATCCTAATCTCCTACAACTGCTAGACGCAGTCAATGTTCATGATTGTGATTTCTGAACATGATCTGATATAATATATAACTATCTAATTTATACATGAACAAATGATTTTGTATAAAAGGCTTTTTCTTTCATTTTTTTTAAGACGACCGACATAGTGTGTGCGTGTGCGTCTGAGAGAGCAGACAGATAAAGAGTGTGTGTGGGTCATCAACAAATTTAGGTTAGTTTAAAGACAAGGAAGGAGGGCAAATATAAAACTTGGGATCTGCATTGTCTGTGGTCATTCCTCTCTATCCATTTTCTTGTATTTTTTTAATCATATTACTCTGGTAAGTTATGATTATTTTAATCAAAGGGCTCATCTTCCCCATTTTCTGCACTCTAATACAAAAGCACAAATTCCAAACACCAATGCCAACAAAGTGCTTTCTTTCTTTAACAAAAAGATTCAAAGTATTGGGAATTTCTATCAAGAATAATACTAGAGATATTGAATTTGTAGATAAAATTTTATATATTAAATAACATAAAAGAAGATTAAATTATATGTAAATGTTAATAAACGTGCTTATTTCTTATAGTGATAAATTATTTAATTTACAAATTATCTACTTAACATTATTCTTTTCTATTATAATTCGAAATATTGTATACTGTTTTAATTGTTAAATTATTAATTTAAGATACAATAATTAGGATTTAACAATTAAAAATTTTACAATATATAATATTTTAGAACAGGAGAGAATTTTCATGAAGTCTTACTTTTCATTCTCACACGATCAGCTACTACATCTTAGTAAGGGATTAGCGGGTCTTTTTTCTTTTCATAAACCAATATTCTTAAATATCCTAATGCACTATAAAAGAGATTCAAATGCAGTCGAGCTGAATACACTGCTTTGATCAACTGTCTTAACACGTAGTTTCTGGAGAATTTAGTTAATCACTTTATTTATTCATATAATTTTCTATATCATTGTCTGATGTTTAGAATCTATTTAATTCCAATCCGGTAATGGTAATATGTGGAAGGGCAGCATGGGGTCTCTGTTTTGTTTCTAAACTGGGTTAATCAAGCTACTATTAAATACTTATGCCCCCACATGGATTAAACGTTCAAGAAATGCTGAAAAAACATTTCCCTACAAAGGTAAGTAGCCATTTCTGGTAGCCCTCAGCTTCTGGAGCTTTATGTTAGTGTTCAAAGAGAAACCACTGCCACACACTCTCTCACTCCTCTCTCTCTCTCTCTCTCTCTCTCTCGCTCTCTCTCTCTCTCTGCCTTTGTACTCTGCGGCATTTGGTTTGAACTAGTTTGTCAAGTTGTTGCAGTGTTGGATCTGATTCCTTTTTACCAGTCCCCAAATGGGTTTGTGAGTTTTGTCACTTTTGGTTTCTGGGTTTGAATATTTAGTGCCAAATTTTCAGTCTTTAGTGTTGTTGGTTCTGCTTTATGTCCTCGGTTCTGAAATGGGTTTTTGAGATTTTCAATGTTGTGATCTGGTTGCTGTAGATTCACTTCATAGTTGGATTTGAACTGTAATTTTTTACTACTTCAGAACAGTAAAAGCTTGAAGCTTGGGAGCAAAATAATGGCACCAAGCCTAGATTTTCCAAGGTGATGGGGAAAGGAGAGTACAAGTAGGGGAAATCTAGTGGTGGTAACCATGGAGAACCCTAATTACTCAGTGCTGGAGATAAACGGTCCAGATGAAGTTTTCAGGCCGGTTAATAAGGACAGAGGCAAAAATGCTAAGCAATTTTCCTGGGTTTTGCTTCTCAAGGCCCATAAAGCAGTTGGCTTTGTTTCTTGGATTGGAAACATTGTTTGGTCATTGTTTGTTTCAATAAAAAAAAGATTGATTTTTGGGACTGTGGAGACTGAGAAATCTGGGAAAGGGAGGATTTTGTATAGGGTTATTATGGTGTTCTTAGTGATGGCTTTAGCTTTTCTGGCTTTTGAATTGATGGCTCACTTGAAAGGATGGCATTTGCATATCCCACAAACTTTGGAGATTAGAGGATGGCTTCATTCGGTTTACTTTTCGTGGTTGGAGTTCCGGGCCGGCTACATTGCTCCTGCAATTCAGGGTTTGACTAACTTCTGTGTTGCTCTCTTCTTAATCCAGTCCGCCGACCGGATGTTGCTGTGTTTAGGTTGCTTCTGGATCAAGTTTAAGAAGATTAAGCCAAAATTGAAAGAGGTTCCATTGAAGTCAGATGATTTGGAAGGTCCAGGATGCAATTATCCGAAGTTCTTGTTCAAATTCCTATGTGCAATGAGAGAGAGGTAACAATCTCAATGCCTTTTCGGATTAATGTTCTACAAAATTACTAATTTGGTTTGATCCTTTTAGTTCAAATTAAGTAACTTTATAATTGGAAAGGTTGCTAACTAATACTATATATGTGTATAACTGTGGAAATTTATGTTTTAGGCACTGTTTTAGTAGTTTTCAATATATCATTCATTCCATTGGTGACAATGACTGTAACATAAAAATGTATTTAGGTTTATGAACAATCTATTTCAGCAGTCTGCCAACTTGATTGGCCGAAAGAACAGTTGCTGATTCAAGTTCTAGATGACTCTGATGATGAGAGCATACAGTGGTTGATTAAGGGGGAGGTTGCTAACTGGAACCAAAGGGGTGTCAATATTATCTACCGGCATCGTTTGGTTAGAACCGGTTACAAAGCTGGAAATCTCAAGTCTGCTATGAATTGCGATTATGTGAAGGACTATGAGTTTGTTGCAATCTTTGATGCCGATTTCCAGCCAAACCCCGACTACCTCAAGCTAACAGTTCCCCATTTTAAGGTGGCTATATCTCATTTAGTTCTTTCTCTGCAGTTTCTAGCTATTTCTACTTTAGGTGACTGATTTTGGTTTGTAATTTTAACTTGTGTGGTAGGACAATCCTGAGCTCGGGTTGGTTCAGGCGAGGTGGTGTTTTGTTAACACGGACTGAGAACTTGTTGACACGCCTCCAGAACATCAATTTGTGCTTCCACTTTGAGGTTGAGCAGCAGGTTAATGGGGTTTTCCTCAATTTCTTTGGTTTCAATGGTACTGCTGGAGTTTGGAGAATCAAAGCACTTGAAGAATCTGGAGGCTGGCTGGAGCGTACAACAGTAGAAGACATGGATATAGCAGTTCGTGCCCATCTTTGTGGTTGGAAATTCATATTCCTCAATGATGTCAAGGTAACTTAATCAATTCAAACCCCAATCCAACTTTACCTGATCCTTCGTTTAGTTTCCGACAATTTGGAATCTTCGTAAATTAGCGTGTATCTAATGGGAAGCTATTTTCCATGTTGCACATGATAAATTCGAATGATGTCTCAAGCTTAAGAAACTGATTTTTCAGGTTCTTTGTGAGCTTCCGGAGTCTTATGAAGCTTACAAAAAGCAACAACATCGTTGGCATTCTGGTCCGATGCATCTTTTCCGTTTGTGCCTTCCAGCAATCATTCGTTCTAAGGTATTGTTGCAATTTAATTCTTCCTTTTGATCAATTTATTGTCCTGAATCGTACCATTCTGACAAAAACTCTGCTAAATGCCGTATTGCAGATGAAGTTCTGGAAGAAAGCAAATTTGATACTACTATTCTTTCTTCTTAGGAAGTTAATTCTCCCATTTTATTCTTTCACATTGTTCTGCATAATTCTTCCCCTGACAATGTTTGTCCCGGAAGCTGAGCTTTCCATGTGGGTTATCTGCTATGTGCCCGTATTTATGTCATTCATGAACATTCTTCCTTCCCTTAGATCTTTCCCCTTCATTGTCCCTTACCTCCTGTTTGAAAACACCATGTCCGTGACCAAATTCAACGCTATGGTTTCCGGTTTGTTCAAGTTGGGAAGCTCCTACGAATGGGTTGTTACCAAAAAGGCAGGTCGGTCATCAGAGCCCGACCTGCTAGAACTAGAGGAGAGGGAAACAAAGGCCATGATTCACCCACAACTGTACCGAGGAACATCCGATAGCGGTCTCTCTGAGCTCAGCAAATTAAAAGAGCAACAAGAAGCTGCTCCCAAACCTCCTCCTGTGAAGAAATTAAACAAGATATACAAGAAAGAGCTAGCACTGGCATTTTTACTGCTCACTGCTGCAGTCAGGAGCCTCCTATCAGCACAAGGAGTACACTTTTACTTCCTACTATTC